ACACACACACACACACAACACACAACACACAACACACACAACACACGTCAGATTGTTCCATGTTTTACTTTTGAAAGTATCACACGTTGATTCCAGGTGAGTCCAGGTGAGAATACCTGTCTGAGAGTGAAGTGGTCGGAGGTAGAGAACATCACCACCGTGTTGTGCATCGAGTTCTCCTCTTCCTCCTTTGGCTGGAACGGTTCCACGTACCCATACTGACACACAGAGAACAGTAATCAGTATCTGCTGCTGATCAGATGTTGGACTGTGTGTATGTGTGTGCGTGTATGTGTGTGTTCTTACTCCTGGTGACACAGTCAGACTGTCCTGAGTCTTCAGTCTGCTCCTTCCTCTTCCTCCTCCTCCTCCTCTTCCTCCTCCAACACCTCCTCCTCTGGACCTCCTCCTGCTGGGAAACCCTGAGCCACGCCCCTGAGTAACATCAAAACACTTAAATTACTTTAATGTCACATTAAAGTAAAGTGACATTTGTGACAAACATTTGTTAGAAAGTACTGATAATGCAATGATATCAGCAGGGACCCCCTCCCTGACCTGGAAAAAAATTCAAGAACTTTTGTCTATCAACGTCCCAAATGTTCAGTTCCCAAATGTCCCAAACTGACTTTAGTTCCCAAACTCATTTCACAGCACTGTTTCTGCTGTGAGGTCCATGTTTAACCTGATGTAACGTCCCCTGGTGGTTTTGGGGGGAAGGATTAATGAACCCTAACAGTTTGTTGGGGGGGGTTAATGAGTAAACACAGCATTAGTTTTAAGCCTATCAGAATTAGGGTGCGTTTCTTTACCACTCTCATGCTCCAGAGGGGGGAGTCCGGTGGTTGGGGCTTAGGGCTGTCCCACCCTCCCTCCCCTGTGGAATCCTGGGAGGATGAGGGGGGGCTCACCACCCTGCGACTACTCCACGAACCCTGAGTTAGGGAGGAGGAGGAGGGAAGTGGTTGAGGTGAAGGAGGCCAAAGAAAAAGGGGGGGGACAAAATGCAGTTACATAAATGCCACAGTCACGAAACAAAACATCAAACTGAAAGAAAACCTAAAAATCTGGCAAAACTAAGACAATGAGACGATGTTACCATGACAACATGCAACCTGTCAATCAATATGGAGTACACAAACGCACACACACACAGCATGGTGTCATATGAATAGGTTAAATCACTTTTCCTTTATATTTGTGTGTGTGTGAGAATTAATTATGCAACATTAGTGAGGATGAGGAGGAACATAATCTGTGTGGGTGGGGCTACTCTGCGATACCCCCCTGGTGATGTCACAGCGGCCGTCAGCTGAACCTGACACTGAACTTAGCAAGATGACAAGAATGACGATGAAAACAAGAACCACTCACTCAACCACTCAACTGACTGAATCATTTTATTTAACACTAAATCTATAATATCTATAAAAATCTAAATAGTTGCTTTGAACCATGACATCATGTTCTTATCGTGGAGCTGCTGTGGATCGTTCCAGTCTCTGATGAGGACCAGGGTCTTCAGAGACCCACAAGATCCTTTGAGATCCTCTGAGGAGTTTCTGAAAGATCTAGATTCTCCTCAGAGGATGAACCTTTGTCAGCTGCTGGAGCTTCAACAGAACCAACCTGACCC